TGAATAAGTGGCAGCAAGCGGCACTAAACTAACGTACTTTTATCCTTGTAAGGTACTACGTCAAAAAATAATTTGCACAGAAAACAACATGATATTTGGTCAATAAAATATGGAATATTGGAGATTAGTTATAAAGAGGCCTTTGCCTATTTGGCGAACATCATTTCATTATCTACCTGATATACTTAAACAAATACAACAACAACGTTGTGCATCAGCCAATTTAACCGATGCTGCGCTGCTTAAAACCAAGATGATCTATGACATAAAGAATAATAAGCGGAGGGAAGGGGGACTTACCAGAAGACCTTAATGCCCTAAGCAAACATTCATGGTCAAAGTGCCTACACCTAGGGTAGACAACCTATCGTCACAAACGGCTGGCTACCGTGCAAAAGTATAGTTGTTTTATAAGAAAATTGTTATACCACATGTGTTCAAAATATTTTTAAAGCTACTGTGACCCCCTTTCCCTTAAAAAAATGTGAATATAAAGGCCGAAATATTGCACGCAGTTTGCGATTTGTTGCAGTTGTATATGTCTTCTCCTTTAATATCAACTACTTGTAAGGGATTTTCACAGTAAAACGTCGCGATATATACTGGACTCCAATCGTGATGTTGCCTTCGGCAATCCAAGAATGTCACTCGTGAATGCGCGGTTCGTGATTCGAAAGACAGACGTGCACCAGTTTTAGTTTCTTACACATTTGTAATGTTTACCACTTTTGTGTCTGCTATTTATTATGATTCTGCGTACTAATGTTCGGTTTCAAAGTAAGAGTTGCAGATAAAATAATTAGAATCAAGTAACAGGCCGCATTTAAGTCCGAATATATTGTTGATTTTTGTCTTATTGCTTTTAATTCATTAAAGGCGAAACAGTATCCATAGATTTAAGTAATATTTGCAAACGAGATGCAGTAATACAAAATATCTCAAAGTACTTAATTCAAAATGCAAAGGGAAGTGTGCGCGTGGCATTAAAACGCAAAAGTTTAAAGATTTTTGATTTCCCTCATACTGCTCCAGGATTTGAATTGACCGGTTAGGGGATGAAAACGTCATATATTTGTGCTCACAAAATTGTTTTCGCTGGTTCCACGACTTAGTCATGTGAAAGATCGTGTGTTTTTGACATAAATTTTTATAACAATATGGTTCGATGCTACTCATTATTCATAGCGGACTACGTGCTATTTTAACGCAACATTGACACAGTTGATTTGGATGTTAAATGTTTTGTATTCAAATATTGGTATTTAAATAAATACCCACGTTTGAACTTAACTAAATAAAAATAGAGGCTAGCTGTTGATATAGGATGTCGGCGGGATATGTACTGTAATAACTTGTTAAACAATAATTGGTGTGATTTTCAATAAGACTGATTTACTGGACAGCATTGGTTTCAGCTTTATGTTGCATATTTGGTTAATCAGGAATTATAAAGCCCATTTAACATTCATCTTCGGAAACATATTTATAACTGCTTATGATTCCATCACATCTTAATTAGAATCCTATGTACACAACAATTTTAGCTATTCAAACTTTGGTATTTATATATATGCTTTATAAAATTTTTATTTGGCAAAATTCAGTGAATCACTATTTTACGGCGTAAACATCCTAATAAGCAAACAAAACCCAATTACATCAATTTATCAGCTATTCCTTGTAAGCAACCAGAAGTGAAACATTAAATTTTCATGGAAAATGGCGGTTTGTTACATTACTTATTTTACCAAAAACAGTTATAGGCTTTCTGGTGGACGATTTTGCTCGATTAATTTAAGTTTTTCATCAAGGTCATCTTTGTGCTTGTTAATGGCAAAGAATATTTCTCAACATAATTGCTGCAATTAGCCTGAAATATTGCTGGTTTTTTATATAATTGTAACTTTAAGTATATTTCAAAAGTCATTATTGACATGCCGGCTTGTTTACGCACCCAAACTCACTACTCGTTTGCAGATATATTTTCATTTCTTAGGCTCAATTCTTACTACCTGAGAACAAACCGTCCACACACTGATTCTATACATTGCTTGCATTATTACTCACCAACAAAAATAACATCCGTTCTATCGCCTGTAAATTTGAGACAAATAAACATCACTTCAGTTGTGGTGACCTACGTTGGGCGATTTATATGGCGTCTTACCAATGGATTGGACTTGCGTCGGGAAAATTCTGAGGTATATCAGGATAATTAACTAAGCTAATTAACTAGCACTACATAGTCTCCATTCTCCCTCTTAATGAGAAGTATTTGCATTCAATATCGTTGGCTTGGATTTATCCGTTTGCACTTGCCGTTCATCCGCAGATCTTCGGGGAAATCAGGCATCCAATTAATGTAACCAAACTGTTTATTGATCGCGTTACATCACAAAAGCTTTTCCATGTCCCTTTGTTTCTTCATGCCACAGTCAGTTTACATGGAAAACACATTAATGCTACTCTGACTGTAAGTCTTGCAATAAGTTTCTTTATTCCATTAAACAGCCACTGTCAACAGATTAGTTGAGATTTTCTTAGATATAAATTATGTATTTCTTATATAGTGCATATATTTACTTTTTAAATGCCATTAATAGTCTTTATAAGGTCTTCATTCCAGTTGTTCACAAGCTAAATAGCACAACCATTCATATTGACTATGATCTCTCAACTGGAAATCAAGCGCTTTGTGCAGGTATGGAACGACAGTGTCATTAGGTTACGTCGTGCTCTGATTGCAATGTTTAGAAGGTTTAACAACACATAAGCCTTGCGGCGGTTTCTTGAGTTATAAGTTTAAACTTTCTTAATATTTATTGTACAATAACTTAGAAAGCTCTGATTTACAGATGGGTCCTCCTCAGTTTGGTATTTTTGCAAAACCGATACCATTCGAAGCTCTGTGTGGCAAATATCCGATAGAACAAATTCCTAAGTTTAACAATAACGCCCCTAAACGTCAGCTTGAATAACATACTGTTCAATGCTAGTGGGTCCTAGAAATCACGAACCGCAGATTTGGTTGTGATTCTTGGCGAATTCCGAAAGCTGCCACTTGAAATCAGCATGTTGGTAAACAGCTAGATTTAGCTGGAATTTTAATGAAGCCACAGGTTCGCCCAGCAACAATTATGAACGTAATAAAAGCGAGGTTTGCTGGGTACGTACTTTAGTAACATAGGATTTGTCAATTGTCTATGGACTCATGTTTCTGAACTATTTCAATCTAATATCTCCTTAGATGTTCCTCTTGGAGGGCATATATACAGAAGTTGAATGTCCCCATATAAGTTTGCGCAGAATTACAAGGCCAACTTTGCAAATATTTGTGTAACGTTCACAGAGACGTCCTCAGTATTATTAGAAAATCGGTCTGTCAAACAGCTTTCAATTGTAACGTTTCTTAACCGTGTTATCTTTTTACGTACTTAAATACCTGTCAGTGCCAATATCATTGTATAAAATGCAAACGAACGATGCGTAGTAATTATTCAATAACTTACTTGTTTTAATCAGCTTATCTGATACATTTAGATTAGATGCGTTTTATTATGGAGTTTACCAGTAGTAAAATAAACACTGAAATATTTACTTGTTAAAATCTTGGCATGTGTCACTCACCTTGAAACTTAAACACGGGTTTTCGTAGTTTCCGCAGAACTAAGTAAATAAACAGAAATTTTGGTTTTTGGAATGGATCAACAAAAGAGAACAATGAAATTTCTTAATATGTATACATGTTGTATCCATTGTATTTAATGCATCCCTTGGCGTACTACTTATATACTTTTAAAAAAATAATAAAGATATTGATATCCATTATTTATACTGACACCTACTGAGAGGAAATGACCCATGACTCTGCTTTTTCACATGGTTACCTGGGCAAGTACCATACCCTTGCTGTTCTCCAAAGCAAGAGAAACCGAACACAATTTGACTATACCTTATAAAAATAGTCTTAACACAGATACAGGGTGCATTCGGTAATTTTACCCACGAAGGGTAGACAGTTGAACTGCGCGCCAATAAGAGTTTCAAATTCCTGCGTGACAGCAATCAAATGGTTCATGTTCCCAACATGTTCGCAGTTGCAAAATGCCCTACTGCTGTCCTAAACCAGCTAAATAAAATTATTTTCTATAGCATAGTGGGTAATAATGATTTGATTAATGATAAGCCAACTAACATCCCAATTGCACATTGTTGAAAAATAACATACACGCGCCTACTTTTGAACTCTGCCGTGAGTTGCTTGCCGTCGACCTACATAATACGACTCGGGGCTTGGGCTGGCAACGTACTTTCTATGAACCTGCCCTTAACATGTGATACAATTTGTTTTAATTTTCTATTGCGTGTATAGATGCAAAGACTATGCTTAGTGCACGCTTAGTGCGGCTACCACCAATGGTGAAACTCCTCAGTAATAAGTCCTTATGTCAAATTCATCGCATTTTTCTTGCACGCAAGCAAACTTGACTTGGCAAATTATGCAGTTAGATAAAATGTCAGACGATCAGTGAACCTATTCATTCTTCAAAAATTAGTAATTTCCAATTTAAGAGATACAAGAACGTTTAACTAACCGAATAAACAAGGTACAATTAAGCACGCTTGCTTAGAGTAGTGGTTGAAAGTAATTACAAAAAACTAAAAAGCATAGATTTATTGCAGTCATTTAGGGGATGAATAAACTCGCATTGTCGCTTCATCTTAAGTGATTTGGATCAAATTTGACATATATCTGTTTTCTTTGTACTTGAATTACTAGGAATATCATAATTCCCGTTATCATTTGTCGCGATCTTATTACACTGGCGTCCTCCTATCATTTTTCGGAAATGCCATTCACCATAATCTTAATCACGGCAATCATGAAATTGGCATTCCCGAAGCTCACGAGTTAACAAACTTATATTTAAAATAGACATTTCATACTCATCAACGATACTTCTCGGGCCGTCACAAGGATGTTTTATAATAGTTCTGCATTAAAGACAAGGTGAAATGCATAATATTCTCTTACATTTCGGTTGAAGATCCGTCGCTATTTAAGAAATAAAAGTATACCAGATTTGCCATCGTGCAAATGTTTATGTGTAAAGTATATGGTTTTGTGTTCAGAGGTTTGCTTTGATTCGAAAAAGTGTCTTACTTTTGATCATGTGTGTTTCATTGTAATGAACTATTAGGAAGCAAAATTGAAAGAACTTTGATTATTAATTTGCGACGGGAGGTTGAAACTTCAAATATTCAACGCAAAACCACAAGGTTATATATTTATCTTACCATAGAATTTTTTCATACTTGAGACATCGTGGGTCATGCCTAGACATAACAAATAACGTGCATATTAATAAATAAAATATAGTTTACTAAATATCTCTGCATTCTCTAAAGTCCAGTATAAGTACTGCGCCAGGAAATGCCAAGATGACGATCGTTTGCCTTATTAATGCATTGAGTAATGAAGCAACACAAAATTAAAGTGACATTATATGCAACTGCTAACACGGAAATCAATATGTTATATATTAAATTAAACGTAATAATTAACTTAGCTTTATTTCTGTTAACTTTAAATCATTTCACTCACAGAGCTTTATGCAAAATTAGCCCTCACATACATAAACTCCACACAATCCGGAAGCAATGCGTACAACGGCACCGTCAAATAACCGTATTCCTATGTACACAGGACGTCATTATACTTACTTCTGGTGTCCGTTATATATACTAAGCGAAAAGCAAATGCAAACGATTTGTTGTATAAGAATAGCTCTCCTAACTTTAGTGGCTCAAATAAATCAACTTTTTAAGTTAGGTTTTGTATAATGGTCTTGTGAATGGATCAAGCGTAGCAGAATTTGGCAAATATTTTCCTTTATTCCGCATAGCATGATTGACCGAACAACACACGATAAGTTGACAGCTGGAGCTCCCTGTGTAACTAAGTTCATGTTTCGGGCAGTCCCAAATAAAAAATGTGCGTCAAATATGTGTGTCACCCAAATATATTTCTCCAGCGTAACCACATCTTTCGACGCAACTATATTTTCCGTGTTTAAATACTGTCAACATAAGCGAGAATGGATCCATCGATCGTAAGTACATAATGCTAAAGATGGAAAATCAAACCTTTTGAATGACAGTGCTGCCAAACGAGTGTATCTGGCCCGACTAAAGCAAAAAACGGCCACGTAGCGGCAATTTATGTTCACACAAAATGAATAAAATAAAGGGATTATAGTATGTGAGGCTTACATATATATAAACGGTGATAATGCACGCTCTTATTTGACAACTGAAAATTGTACCATTCCTTTCTAAATTATTTTTCTTTTGCGAGTGAGCAAATCAATCGCATTTGGTACGGGTGACCCTTCCTCTGTGCTGACCTAACTCGTTAATACTCTTAGGTAAATACCACCCCGATACTTTATCTTGTTTTATTAGCTGTCAATTTTATATATCCAAACAAATAAAAAAGTGCCAAGAATTGCATGTTTTAATAAGTGTATAAAAATCCTTGAATGTCTAGAAGAGCAGTGTCTAGAAGAACAGTAAGCTGTGCATTAGATGTAAACTCTGTTTATATATTAGGGACTTTCTTGCGATGCTGTAAGCTACCAAACCGCTGAGGTATACATATTTATTACAATAAGAGTAGCATGGATAAGAAAAGATATGGTTTTAAAATAATCGTTAGCTAGGGTCATAAGAATTTCTCGTGAAAGAACTAATTTCGTCCTAATCATTTGTTTAAGAATTTGTTGTCCAAAACTACAGGTTTATAATACAATTTATTAAAAGCAAGATCACGTTGCGTTAAGAAAATAAATCACTTGAAATCATATAACCAAACATGTTTTATAATAATCAGTGAATACTTCACTATAACATACTAAGTTTAGCCAAAACTGCCTAACATGGCCTGACGCTTAGTTTAATGCAGAAAATGATTGCTTTAAATCCCTGAGAAATATTTGATTAAACATGGCATGATATTTAGTTGACTACCATCGCAGGCAGATTAACTGATATATAACATAATAAAAAACCATACGCATTATGAATCTTTGAGCGAAAGTTAGCTATAACTCACGCTTGGTTCCGCCGTAATCAGGCTTTACTGAAACTGAAGCAAATTGGTGAGTTCTTGAAAGGTTTATATAAAAACCTATGCTCTTTTCAACTAACTAACTAACTCATAATTCCATCAAACACACATGCACATTTTATGAGGTGAGACGACCAAGGCATTCTATAGATAATCAGACAGGTATAGACTTACAGATTATATCCTTTAAATCTGAAGAAAATAGAATATTGGAAAGATTAAAAATGCCGGGAATCAACATGACACATCACCATATATCATTGCGTTTAGCAACATGATCGGGTTCACATGGAACGTAATATTTATGTAACACATGACTATGTGTGTCAGCTTAGGTATATGAACCTCATGTTTAATACGCATAATTATATAATGCTTGTAAATAAACCAGAGAGTTATCGTTTATATTGTATCTAACGACCCTAAAATGAGTCATTTTTGTAATATAGACAGCACATAAGACGTGTTTGCGCTAAACTGTCAGTGCTTTTCTTATTTTAACAAACTCACCTGGTAAGCCACGGACTGCGTGTTATATAGAAAACAAAGTAGGATTTTAACCAAAAGATAAGTCCTAGAACGTCAGTATTTAATCAGTATTCTAGGTAGCTTTCCTTCACTTACTTGTGTAGGATGTTTCTATGCCTGAATGGAGAATACATTTAGTTAGTGTTAATGTCCTAAGACACTTTGCTAATTGCCGTTGCATTTATCAGCCAGAAAAGGACGTGATAGCCTGTTTAAACTAAATTTATCATGGTTTAGAATGATAATGTGTTAAGGACCAAAGGACATTACTTACCATCTGGAACCACAAATGATGTCAGTGCTATTAGTAATCAAAAGTTATTTGATTTTAATAGAAAACGAAAACGAAAATTTTGAATGGAAACGCGATAAATGTTACAGATGGATAGTTGTACATTTACTTGCAGGGATTCCACATTTGCTTCCGGATTACTCTGTCATAAGTGATATCAGTGTCTGAATAATACATCAATATTTTTTATGTATTCCTCAAGCTGTGCTCTAGCTTATTTCGGAGTTCTCATTGATTAACCTAACAGCCGTCTGTGTCCGCCGTCTTGCATTTGTTCTACGACAGTCGAACATGATGACCACCACACCCGAAAGGAAGCATTTTGTTTTAATCAAACGTGTGCTAAGTTATTAAAAAGGGTGCTGACTTGTACAAATTTTCGAGACAGGTACCATTCCAAATGCGTCAACGTCTCTAGAACCGACATAATTAAATACAATACTTTGGGTTTACTGAACAATGAACAATGAATTTATACAGGTTAAGAAGCCTTGTGTACAACTCCTTTACTTTGGTTCTGTCGGAAGTGCACAACGATTCCAATGGTAAACTGCGTACTAGCGTTAACACCAAAGTAAGACAGCCAAGTTATCGATACTGAACATCATTTGAATCCAAATATTGCTTCGCTCGAAGCGAAAATACCGCATCTTGTACCTCATCCGTCTCCCTCAATTGACTCCCCGAAACGCAGAAAAGGCGCGAGGCGTTCAAACGGCCGCGCGGTACTAGAAATCTTGGGAACCACGAACTAAGTCAACAGTACGACCGATATAAACATGCCTAGCCCCATCGCCCACATCCTCTTATCCAACGTATTGACTGATGCAATATCGGTAACACCCACTCTTCTGATTAACGAATAAAATCCAAAGCGATCTAAAGACCAATCCATATATGCAACTGTTGCTACTCGGTATAAGCGCAGTGCGACCTCAGTAGTCTCATCCAGTACGGCAGCCAAACGAGTCAAGTGTCAGATGCAACCTCCAGATACGTCACGAAATCCATCGAGAACCTGCTTCCCACATCACCAAAGAATAGGCGGAACTACGGGACCTTGCCACTCATACGCATTGAGATTTCTGAGCCCAAGGCAAACTCCTTAAAGGGTAAACATCTAGATGATTTGAAGCAATGGAATTTCCTTTGTGAAAAATTAGGAATTCCAACTGATCTAACATAATGCGCAACTCTAAACGTCCAACCTCGAATTATTATGGGGTGCCCCGACTAATGTGATTAAGAGTGGGATCAATTACTACACAATACAATTCCCTCGGAACTACAACTACAGACAACAGTCTAAAAGCCGCAGCCCCACGCTTTTTCGCGGAAACCACAACTCCAGCAACTCAATATAATCATAACAGCGCTACAGAATCCTGTTCGCTAAGACTGGTAGATATTGAGAAGGCTGCCGATGTACTACCTACCGCAGATGCAAGTGAGAACAAAAACGGATTACATTCCTATCGAGATCAGGAAATGCACTCAAAAAACGATTAGGTCCTGGCCTGTCATCGGTTGGCACAAATGCACGTCATTCATGTGTTCCATGTCAGACGTTTTTGATATCAGGGAAGGTTTCCTGTATGTACATCAACCTTCAAGGCTTACTGAGTAAACTTTCCAAAATGCGGCTGGGTCAAGGAACCAAAGCCTGCGACCCCATCACTATAACGGAGACCTGGTTAAGCCCTGACATAGGTGACATGGAGATCACACTGCCAGACTTGTCCATTGTTCAGCACGACAAACCCAGCAAAGTTGGAGGGTGGCTCTTTAGTTCCACAATGTCCTCCCATGTGAGCTCATAGAGGATCCAGTCAGCATGGTGCAATATTCCCCTCGTTGCGGCCTACTTTTAAAAAGCGACGACAATTGCTCACTGGCGGTCATTTATCGTTCTCCTTCGTCCACGTCAAAGACAGACCCCCATCTGGCATCCGTAATAATGAGGGTGATAAACCCAACATTCAGTTACATTCTCATTATGGACGATTTCAACGTCCACGCTCTGGAATCCCAAGCAGCTCCCGGAGAACAGTTTAAGGCGGATCTACAAGTGTCCGTCGTCAGTTACTTGCTGTATTGACACTTTAGCAGTCCCACTTAATTCCAACAATTTGAAGTCTTCGCTAAAGTATCGGATATTCACTAAAGCAAAACAAAGGTTTGTGAGAGTGCTTGTCGATGTCCCATTAGGCCACCCGATCACGCAGTACTACGCATCGAATATATTTGCTATGCAATATTTCTCGTAGAAGGTGCCGGCGCAACCAGAAGATATGTACGCTACTACATATTAACTCGACTAGGTGAAACAGCCAACTAGATATTTCTGACCGACGAGGCACCAGCTAGTGCATGGCAACATTTTGGCAAACAGCTTAGCTTTTTGGTTGCTGAAGCGTCAAAGAGTTTAACCTTCAGCCAGAGAAACGTGGTCCCGTTTATGCGAAGCAGGAAACGCAAATAAATAGCTGTGCAAAACTCAGCTTGGCATATGTACAAACTCTACCCAAGCACCGAAAACTGGATGGCATATGTCACCCAACGTAACTCCTGTACTCAGCGTGTTGAAAATGACAGAGTGGCATACCAGCAGTAGTTGGCACTGCGTATGGCTTTAAACCACAAGCTGCTGGGATACGATGTCCACCGTCTACCTAAGGTGAAACATAAATTTCCCCTCTTCAAACAGCAGACGAATCCACACAGACACCGAAGGAAGCGGCGGATACCTATCGCCTACAATACGTTGCAAACTTTCAGTGCGATCGCTGGCCACCTTAACCACTAAATCTAGTTGCTTTTACTTCCGATACTCAATTACACATCTTTAAAGCAGTAGCTGTACTAAAAAGCTGTTGAGCATGCGCAAACACAGCTTTTCTGGAGCTGCGAATTTCGTACGAATTCGCTAGAGGCAGTAGGAGAGAGTTTAGCTGCACCTACGGCACGATTCAGCTATCCCAGTTTTGGAAAAAGGAAGTGCCCGTCATGTAATGAAATAAATTGATTACTAGAGGCAGATGTCAACTAGCCAGCAGCTTAAGCCGCTGCGTATGGGGGACGTTGGCTGGGCTCCAAATTAATTTGCAAACTAACTGGGATATAGCACCAGCTATCTTACACCGTAACTGACAGGGGTTAGAATGCGAGGTGAGGACTTCCTCTCGCCAGACCTTAACCAGGGTCAGTGACAGTAGAAGATAGGTGATGCTATATTTCAGTTAGTTTGCAAATTATGTAGCTCAGCCAACATCCCCATACTCAGTGGCTTAAGCTGCTGTCTAGTTGGTATCTGCCTCTAGCGGTCATGGGTTCGGTTCTCCTTAGAGGACCAAGGAAATGCACGTCAATGAAGAGCCCTAATAGGCGCAACGCTTCTGGTGGTTTTCCGGACTAGGCTGTGCTATGTAGTTTGTGAACTATTGGGATGAAAGCCCTAGCAGAGTTACAACTATTTTCCTGCTAACCGCGAGTAATAGAAACATGAGTACTCCTATTCACATGGAAGGCAGTCGTTCCATTCCAGCCAACAATCTTCCCCTTATCTAACCATGGATTCTTGCTAAGTTCATTTCTGACACGCTAACCGCGTACTAGGAAGAATTTAACTACCATGCGTCGGAACAGCGTGGCTTCCGGCAAAATCGATAATGCACTGCAAACATACTACAAACATTATCCAGCTGGACTGAAGAAATAGGCTCTGGCCCAGGAGTTGATGTAATCTTCCTGGATTTCTCAAAGGCTTTCGACCGTTTAGACCATAACATTCTGTTCTTAAATCTGCGGATCTTTGATATTGGTGATATTCTAATCGGATGGAGCAGCTACTTCCTTCTTCACCGGCGCCTGGAAGTACGTGTGCATGATTTGCTGTCAGATCCCATCAAAACTGAATACGTAGTACGAGAGGAATCGTTACTCGGACTGCGATTATTCATGACCTATATTAACCATGTCATTGGCGTCCTAAACTCGAACGGCCCTATCTGTGTCTATGGAATCAAAGGCTGGAGGGCGATCAAAACACCAAACGATATCATAGTACTGCAGGCTGATCTGAATAGGATATACGCGTTGTCAATACCGAACCTGCTTAGATTCTATCTGAACAAATGTATAGCGCTGCACCTACGGTACAAGTTGGTGCACTAATACCATCTCGTCAACAAGGCGCTTACAGCGTCTTCTGGCGAGCAATATGTGGGAGTTGTTGTCCAGGTCGTTTTGTGATGTTCGAAACATGCTGAAACGGCTTCTACTAGGGCATTCAATTTGCGGACCTCCTGAAGCCAGCATTTGGACGATTGGTCCCTCGATTTTTCCAAAAATTTTCTCGGCTCATACATATGGACACATGTGGAATACGCAATGCAGGTCTGGCAGCCAGGACTGCAGAGGGA